GTAGTAGAGAGAGAGGGCGAGTGAGGGGGAGGGGGGGGGGATGGAAAGAAAAGCTGAGCCTAGAGAGGGTGGAGGGAGGAGGGGGAGAGATGAGATATGATCAGGAGGGCGTTCAGTTTGCCATCGATGAGTCGCTCCCATGCTCACTTCTGAGGTCGTAAACATTACGAAGGCATCACTGATCGTAGATCGACCTTTTGTGGGACACCTTTCCAAGACTCAGAAAACACTGAAGCAAGGATGCAGGTAGAAGGCAAGCCTCAGACGACCACACGTATGGGGTTAGACCTCCGACTAAGGAGGTGGAGAAAACACCGTTGATGCCTTAGATTCTGCAGATATTCCAATACATCGCCAAAGCTCGAGGACTGAAACGTCAACACTTTATTAGCAACCTCTCTCCCCTCTGTACCCATATTGCGGGTACACGTGCTCTGCTTGTCCCAAGGACATGGTGGACAAGGCAGCAGTGCATCAGAACTGTATTTCCGGTGCATGACAATCAAAGGCAGGTAGGAGCAGGAGCTGAGAGCAAAGCAGCAGGAGCATCGATGACAGGGTGCCGCTGAGTGAACATAGATTCATATGACGCTCCGGCACTTGTGATGCGGCGCTGTACAAGGGAGGGGATAGGGTGGGAGTAGTGGCAAGCTGAGATGGTGTATGTTCTTAGGCGGAACTTCGATGGAAGTGGCTGACACTCCCATGGCAGTAGTAAACACTTGTTTGTTGAATATCGGAGGCAATCGCGGCTCAAGTCAAGGCCCCATGTCCATATTAATCATGCAAGCACTTGATAGCAAGCTCTCGTTGATGTGCAAGGTCTGGTCCTTAGTGGTCGAAGCTTCTTGCACATCGTGCAAATTTCCAGCGCCTAGGCTTTCGGTTCTTTCTCAAGGATTTCAGTTCGGCCAGTTCGTCTTTTGGGGTGCGCTCTAGTTTAAGACTTTGCATGCTTCCACATGAAGAGAGGAAATCGTCAGAATCCAGGATCTCGCCTGCAGCTATTATCTCACTTCGTCCCTCCTCGTCTTTCCCAATATTCCCAAGTATCCTCATCCCAGCTTTCTGTATCGATCCAACCCAAGGAAGGTGCTCGCACGTTTGGATCACATGGACAATCTGCTTCACCCCTTCCGCTGCCCGGATCTCCCTCCGCCCCTCCTTGACCTGCGAGACTTGTCTCAAAAGTTTGACCCAACTTTCCATCGCATGAGAGTTTGACTGTGGTCGGCATGTTCGCATGGCGGTCAACAACGCCTTGACCCCTCCCATTGCTATGAAGTCACACACTTGGCATTCTTCTTGCAGCAAGTTTAGTAGCAAAGACAGCGATTGACTCTGCACTTCGCGGTTGTAAATGAACTTGAACATCGCAGCCAAAGCACACTGAACACCTTCTGCTGCCCAAACATCCCTACTTCCTTCCTTTGAATTCGCAAAGATGCCAAGTGTTTCCAATCCTTGTGACAACCTCCTGTTTTCGGTATCATTGCTAATCTGATCTTGCAAGATTCTTGTACTGAGCACATACAGCGATTCTTGCCCCCCCCGGCGTCTGTTGGCCCCGCCTGAACCATATCCTGCATAGCTGTCATCACTGCATTCAACCCTCCTGCTTCCCGGATCTCTCTCCAGCCTTCCAGGGTGCTTGCAAGTCTTGCAAGCACCATCAGTCCTTTCTTCCATACCCGATCATCACTCAGATGGCGGATGACCGCAGCTACAGCTGACTTGAGTATAACAGCACGCTCAGGCTTCTTTTCCCACTTTGAGCTGGTCCCAAGCATACCATGGAACAAGGTAAGACCAGATTCCTGCACGTTTGCATCAGCCCCGTGCTCCTGCATCACACTTGCTACAATCTGCTCATCGCCGATGTCCTGCATGTCTGCTTCAGCACCATCGTTCTTCGTCGCAAGGCAGCTCAGAACTTTGAACATGTCCATATGGTTCTTTTTGGAATCACATGTTAAGGCTGACAGCACAGAGTTCACTCCCCCTGCTGCCTTGAACGCTCTTGCCATTTCCTCGATTCTCAACAACTCAAGAGGGAAATCAAACATCTCCATCGCAACCACTATGGCCTTGGCACCTCCTGCAGCCAGGAACTTCTTCCACCCATCCTTGTCCCACAGAATCTGTTTGATAAGCGTAAACCCTGGTCTACAAAGGCTCCCGTAAGTTACCATCTCCTTCACCAGCATCTTGAGCACTTTACATGAAAGGATCTCACTTCGCGCTTCGTCATCCAACCATAAGTTGGCCAACACTTGCAGCCCTAAATCCCAAAGTTGCTTGGTGGCGCATTCCAGAATGATATGAGATGTTGCCTTAATGCATCCTGCTTTACGGACCTCCCTTCGCGCCTGCCCTTCTGACGTCAACCAACTTAGTGTCGTCAAACATGCTCGTTTCAACTCTGAGCTTTCTTCACTTTTCCTCATGGCAGCCATCAATAACTCAAACGCTCCACATGTTATGAACTCCATCCCTCCACCATCAATTTCCTTCAAAACCATTTGTATTTGTTCAAACCCACTCGCCTGCACTTGGACATGTTCCTTATGCTCAATCATGGCAGCTATGATCGCCTCAAGCTTGACTACTGACTCGATCGTCTTCAAGCTATATTTGTTGGTGAACTTGAAGTGTGCTTCTGACTGACTTCTCTGATAGATCGCTATGAAGCCGAGGAGCATCAATAGCTCAGTCTTTTCGTCAACTCCCACATATTTCTGCTTGTGACTCAAGAATGATAGCAATACCTTGACCACTCCGGCTGCGAGCATCGCCCTCCTCCCCCCCTCCTCCTCTAACAAGCTCCTTATCACTTTCAGCCCCGTCGTGCGCACTTCCTCGTCATCCTTGTGCTCCTGCATGGCCTCCAAGACCGTCTTCTCTCCTCCCGCCGCAAGGACCTCTCTTCGACCTTGTTGCACTTGGGAGATCATCACGAGCACCTCCAGGGCGGCATGCAGGACTGGTGCGTCTGTCTTGCACGTGCGCATGGCATCCAAGACCACCTTCTCTCCTCCCGCCGCAAGAAACGCTTCTTTGCAATCTAAGTCCAACAGCAACGATTCGATCACCACAATACCGACCCGCTGACAAACATCGTCGTTCTTGTCCTCCCGCATGGCACATACTAACGCAACGATTTCGGCATTGTTGTGGTCATACTTTCCCTCCGATGTAAGGCTACCGATCAATGTAAAGATGATACGAATCTCTCCCCACTCGAACATGCGACGCCAGCGATGGTCTGACGGGCGCACATCATCCAAAAAGAGAAGGATTTTCGTCAAGCCTCCAGCTGCTCGGATTTCCTTGCATCCGTCTTCATTCTCTGAGATCGTTAAGAGCACTTCAAGACCTTTTGTCTTCAAACTCCAATTGATTGATTCATTGCTGCAAATAGATAAAATTGTCTGAATCCCACCAGCCGCTCGGATCTTGTACCGTCCCTTTTCTTCGTGTGAAATCTGTCCCAGCAGTTCCATCCCCCTGTCGAACAGATCTCCACAATCCCAGGTATTGCTCAGCCCGTTCATGGCATCTACGATGGCCTCCACTACTCCTGCCTCCAATAACTCCAACAATTCCTCCTGCCCCTTCATGATATGTGATTTCAGGAATATCAGACCGTTGCAAACTGACGTGTTCTTTCGAAACTCTAACACCACTGCCTCTGGCCCATCCCTCTTCAGCAATTCTCGTTCCTTAGAACTCTCCGTGCACTCCATTCCTGCCTCCTGTACGCTCAAGTCCTCCCAGGCACTCCCCAGGATTGACTTCACTAGCTCGACCACTCCGGCTGCGAGCATCGCCCTCCTCCCCCCCTCCTCCTCTAACAAGCTCCTTATCACTTTCAGCCCCGTCGTGCGCACTTCCTCGTCATCCTTGTGCTCCTGCATGGCCTCCAAGACCGTCTTCTCTCCTCCCGCCGCAAGGACCTCTCTTCGACCTTGTTGCACTTGGGAGATCATCACGAGCACCTCCAGGGCGGCATGCAGGACTGGTGCGTCTGTCTTGCACGTGCGCATGGCATCCAAGACCGCCTTCTCTCCTCCCGCCGCAAGAACCTCTCTTCTCCCTTCATCATCCTGCATGACACCTGCCAGCACAACCAATGCGGTTTCTTGTAAACTCAGATTGGCAGCATGCTTCCTCATGGCGCCAATGGCTGCATCGACGCATCCTGCAGCTCGGATCTCCCTCCTCATCTCTATTGCCTCGTTCTCATCGTCGTAGCCGTGCCTGTCCCACATTTTAATGGTGAGCGTGGCATGGTAGAGGAGGTCACAGACAAGTTCAAGCCCCGCTTCTTGTATCCACTCATCTTGTATGTGATGATGCATGGCTGCAAATACCGCATCGAGCCCCTGCATGCTACTCATCGTCATCAAGCTCTCCATTCCGGCTCTCTGCACGCTCAAGTCCTCCTGGTGCCCTCGCATAGCCCCCGTGACCGCTTCGACACTCTTGTTGGGCCCATGGACCTTGTCCGTTGCAAGGCAGCTGAGTACCGCTAAGGCCTGATCACGAGCGCAACTATTTTCTCTGAACTTGAGAGTTGACTTCACCAGCTCGACCACTCCGGCTGCGAGCATCGCCCTCCTCCCCTCCTCCTCCTCTAACAAGCTCCTTATCACTTTCAGCCCCGTCGTGCGCACTTCCTCGTCATCCTTGTGCTCCTGCATGGCCTCCAAGACCGCCTTCTCTCCTCCCGCCGCAAGGACCTCTCTTCGACCTTGTTGCACTTGGGAGATCATCACGAGCACCTCCAGGGCGGCATGCAGGACTGGTGCGTCTGTCTTGCACGTGCGCATGGCATCCAAGACCGCCTTCTCTCCTCCCGCCGCAAGAACCTCTCTTCTCCCTTCATCATCCTGCATGACACCTGCCAGCACAACCAATGCGGTTTCTTGTAAACTCAGATTGGCAGCATGCTTCCTCATGGCGCCAATGGCTGCATCGACGCATCCTGCAGCTCGGATCTCCCTCCTCATCTCTATTGCCTCGTTCTCATCGTCGTAGCCGTGCCTGTCCCACATTTTAATGGTGAGCGTGGCATGGTAGAGGAGGTCACAGACAAGTTCAAGCCCCGCTTCTTGTATCCACTCATCTTGTATGTGATGATGCATGGCTGCAAATACCGCATCGAGCCCCTGCATGCTACTCATCGTCATCAAGCTCTCCATTCCGGCTCTCTGCACGCTCAAGTCCTCCTGGTGCCCTCGCATAGCCCCCGTGACCGCTTCGACACTCTTGTTGGGCCCATGGACCTTGTCCGTTGCAAGGCAGCTGAGTACCGCTAAGGCCTGATCACGAGCGCAACTATTTTCTCTGAACTTGAGAGTTGACTTCACCAGCTCGACCACTCCGGCTGCGAGCATCGCCCTCCTCCCCTCCTCCTCCTCTAACAAGCTCCTTATCACTTTCAGCCCCGTCGTGCGCACTTCCTCGTCATCCTTGTGCTCCTGCATGGCCTCCAAGACCGCCTTCTCTCCTCCCGCCGCAAGGACCTCTCTTCGACCTTGTTGCACTTGGGAGATCATCACGAGCACCTCCAGGGCGGCATGCAGGACTGGTGCGTCTGTCTTGCACGTGCGCATGGCATCCAAGACCGCCTTCTCTCCTCCCGCCGCAAGAACCTCTCTTCTCCCTTCATCATCCTGCATGACACCTGCCAGCACAACCAATGCGGTTTCTTGTAAACTCAGATTGGCAGCATGCTTCCTCATGGCGCCAATGGCTGCATCGACGCATCCTGCAGCTCGGATCTCCCTCCTCATCTCAATCTTGTTCTCATCGCCGTAACTGTGCCTGCAGTGATTCATCGCATGGTCGAGGAGGCCCCGGACAACTTCGAACCCGGCTTCTTGAAGCCAGTTATCTTGCTCGTGCTCCCGAATCGCCATTATCACCGCTTCAAATCCTGCTTTGGATCTAAACATCTTTACTGTTTCATCTTCCCATGAAATCTTTCCCAGTATTCTCAGCCCTGCCTGCTGTATTCTTTTATCTCGATATTCTGCCATGGCTGCCAGCGTATCTCGCATCATCGTGTCTGGTACAATTCCGTTAACTGCTACTCTGGAGCCGAAGAGGAGCCGCATGCTTCTTGGAACGTTTCTATAAAGGTCATGCAGTGCCGCCTCGACTTCTGCGGATCCTCGACCTCCTTTGTCTGTATCCTCGTGTGCTGGTAACTCGCGGTAGTCATTACCTGAGCGATCCCTCCCACGGATCTTCTTCCTTGGTCGTTCGGAATTATCGATGGGTTCCTGCACGTGCAAGCACAAGGGTTCAGCAAGAGACATCCTTTGAAATCCGAGCTTACCATGAGACAATATCAACCAGAGCGATTTGACCTCGAAGAGCAACAAACCTTTCAAACAACAGGCTTATCACATGATCACAGGAGCCGAGTCCAACAAGCAGCTACCCCTCTACACACACACACCCTGATCTCTATATCTCTTCTCTTCCCTTTGCTATTGAAACAACCACAAGGTAACAGCGGAGGCCTCAAGCCATTTCCTAGCTGCGAGCCGCGCCTCGCGTGTCCTTGATTTGCCAACAGCCGCTTCCTAGCTACGAGGCATGTCACTGAGGCGGGCCGGTAATTTCCCAATTTAGATCAAGTTTCACTGCCGTAGACTAGGCCTGACCGGACCGGCGCCGCGGGCCGGGCCGAGCTTCGGAACTGGGCCGGCCCGGCCCGGACGGCGCCGCGGGCCCAAGTCACCCGATGCACCGTCCGGACGGACCGGCGGGGGCACTCCGAGGCTCGACTCAGAGTCGGACCCGCCGGGGCCGCCGGTGACTGATCGGACGGTGCCCGGCTGTGGCCGGTGGTGTGAGTCACTGAGTCAACCGTGACTGAGCCTCGGAGGCCGGGCTTCCCGGCGAGGAGTCACTCAGTAGTAAAGTTACAGTAGTAGCCTACTAGAAGTAGCCTAGTAGTGCCATCACTGTGTCACTCCGAGGCCGCGCTCCCTGCCAGAGTGAGGCTCCGATCCGTGGCAGTCGGCCCGCCGCCGCCCGGGCGCCCGGCCAGTGGCCGTATTCAACGGTCCTTGTACCGTATCGTACAGATTTTTCAACTTGAAACATTATTGAGTAAACATAGGGATGCAGCCATGCCGCGTGCAAAATCCATTGGTAGACCCCACCCCACCCCGAGCTACACCTTGAATGATGGTCGTATCCGCCCTCGGGAATATTCCATAAAGTTCATGAAATAGAGTCTTTTCGGAGATATGATAGAAGAAATACCCCTGCTGTTCATACCTGTGAAATAGGTAGGGCTAGTGTCATCTACCAAAAAAAAAATGTACTGGTTCTAAGAATAGAGATTATTTGAATGAAAGAGTGCTTATTCAGTTTTCTTTTTTAGTCTGGTCAGCGGCCCCCAGTCGAGTACCCCTCTTTTCAGCCTACACCCCTAATCCGCCTGACAACGGAGGCCGGCACACCCCATGTGCCAGCTAGTACCAAAGATTGTTTGACCCCTATGTGACATGGACAAGTTTTCTCAATGTTATTCATAGTAAATATCGCATAAGCCTCTTTCATCTCCGTTTCAGGTAACACCCTATCAGATCTTCAAGTACCCCCACCACCTGTTTCTCCAGCCTTGTGAAAACACCCTCATTTTCCCTACATGTTGACCACCCCACCTACGATCTTTCCTCGTGAACCTAGGATGGTCCTATCACTGCTAGCCAATACCTACGAGCTACGACTCCCTGAAACCAGTGCTTTTAAGGTTGACCAATACCACCCCTATCAAGACATACCCTACATAGTTCTATCGGACCCATCAGTTTCCAAACAAGTTCAGTAAGAGTACCCCCTCATTTCATCACCCCACCCCCTGTTCAAACCTGTAATCGGGAATTAGAGCCCCCCACGCCACATACCACCCTGACCAGAACTTGCAACTCAAGCCTGTACCCCTACCCACTTATGTAATTGACCCTACCCTGCACCTGCAACTCATCCATTCGTTTTCCGGCTACTACAACAATGCATGCTACCCCACCCCACATTTAATCTCAAATTCATAGTATTGAGCACTGGTAGTCTCGTTGAAAACCACCCCCTGGAACATTATACCCTCCCCTGCCGCAAGAGAACCCCACCCTAGTCAACCAGGACCCACACCACTGATTAGAAACCAACGCCTCCTTCCTACACAAGCTCGAACTTGAGCGAGGAGGACGAGGAGGACGAGGAGGACGAGGAGTACAAGGAGGAGGACGAAGGAAGAAAGAATTCTACAAGAAAGACACACACTGCTCAGGAGAAGCTTGATTAATCTTGGACGCACATCTGAATCAGCCGTCGCATCCTGACCTGTCGGGCGGAGAGCCAAATTTTGAGATACACTCAATAGTCTGTACCGGATCAAGTCAGTTTGATCTATCCGGAGGGTCTAAAATCGATTGATACAGAAGGACTGCAAGCCTTTCTGACTCTGAAAGGTTTGGAGGAGGGATATTGAGCTTGTGAATGCTGAAAGCCGTCTGCTATCCTTCAACCACAACTTGTGTAAGAATGTTGGCCATGCTGGCTGCATTTTCCCCTGCACCATCCACTGCGTTTCTTGCTACCTCAGCGTGCAAATCATTTAGCGCCGTTGGAACGAGATGGATGAGCCTGTCTGCGCGCAGCGCAGCTTCGAGAGGCAGCTTTGCGACTACGGCCTCGCGAATCTCGAGAGGACTTGGATCGATGCAGATGAGAGGGACAGAGTCGGCGCATGGACAGCCACCTTGGCCGAGGATCGTGATCGTGAGCAGGAGGCATCTGCGGAAGAACAAGCAGGTGCTGTAGCGATCGCGCGCCGCCCTTGCCTCCTGCTTGTTCCCCATATTCTGCCTCTGCGTCTACTGCCCGCACGTTTGCCTTTGTGCTCAATTACATCGAGGCTTTCTCCTTGCCCCTCGACTTGTCTCAGTTGCTTCCTGTCTTGCTCACTGTGTCCTTGCAGGTTGACTTTGTCGGGGAGTACCACATCGATCTGCTTCAGAGGTATGGAGCTGTTCCCATCCTCATTCCCCGAACCCTGGCAACTACCCAGCAACTCGAAGCCTACCTGATTGGCGGTGAGGAGGGAGGAAATGACAAGTAACGGGATAATGATGTCTTGCCCAGGCATCGACGGAGTTCTGGTAGTGGAGGGAAACGATCTTGGAGCAGAGTATAAGCCGTACGGGAGCGAAGTGAGCATGCCGTCAGACAAGAAGGACGAGCTGCTGAACAAGCACCCGGGGGACATGGATATTGATAACGCCAAGGACGCGCTGGAGATGGAGCTAATCAGGAAGGAGGTCATCGGTAAGGGAGTGCCGTACCTTGGACTGTGCAGGGGGTCGCAGATGCTCAACGTTGCCATGGGTGGTACACTCTACTTCGACGTTGCGACCGAAGTTCAGACCAGCGTCAAGCACATCGACTACGACAACTACGATGGGTACCGGCACAAGATCGACGTCGTGCCCGAGACCCCGCTGGCGGGCTGGTTCGAGGAGCAGTACGAGGCTGCGGGGAGGAAGACGTTTGAGCTGCAGGTCAACAGCTACCACCATCAGGGCATCCGGACGCTGGCTGACAATCTTGAGCCCATGTGCTTCTGCCAGGACGGGCTGGTGGAGGGATACTACGACACGACCCAGCACGACCCAGCGCAGGGGAAGTACAGGGTCGGGCTGCAGTGGCATCCGGAAAGGATGCTGAGCGACTATGCCGGGTGCGCCAGGGTGTACCAGCACTTTGTGGAGGCGGCGGCTTCGCATCGCAGGCTGATCTTGGAGAGGGAGAAGAAGGTGACGAGGATGAAGATAGTAGGACAGGCGGTCGTGCATGTGAATCCTGCAAACAAGCATCATCATGTCAGGAGGGACCTGACCCTCAGGACAGACAGCAGGCACGAGTAGAGGGATTTGGTGGGAGGAAGGAAGGATGATGTTGGACTGGTGCTTGTTTGACTGTTTGTTTCTTTAGGATCTGTTGCTCTTGTTTTGTTTGCCCGTGTCTTCGTGTCTTGTTTGTTTCTTTATTACTAATACAATCTTGATCTTAAAAACGACAATTGCAATCCCGCGGTCAAGTTATGATTCTTGTACTCTTGCTCAGTGCTTCATATCCAGAGCGTCATCTTCCAAACTCGTCTCTTTCTCTTCAACCCTCACTTTTCTACATTTGTTCCTGCATTTCATAGTCTGTTGGTTGAGGACGGCGCAGCATTTTCTCCTTGATAGCAAGGAGCGGGTTTCCTTTTCCAGGACGTCATACATGGCACACGCAATGGGAGGGCGCAAGGACGGAGGGTGCAGGAGCATGTATTTGCAGAGGAATCTTGAGGAGAGCTGAACTGCCAAGGAGACGAAGGAAAGGGAGGCGGGGAGGGAGGTCAGGGAGGTCAGGGAGATCAGCGAGGGAGCGAGGGAGCGGGGAAGGGAGGTCAAGGGAGCGAAGACGAAGAGTAGGCAGGAGAGGATGCGTTGGGACGTACCCGCTGTGAAGTTATGCCCTGGTTCTCGGACAGTGACAGTAGGAGGGAGATGTTGACCATGCAGCCATGCCGTCCACCCGAGGAAGCTGAACCGTTTTGTCAGAAGATGAAGTGGAGGAGGAAGACAGACAGGCGGAGAAGAGCAGCGAGGAGAAGAATACAGGTGAAGATGAGAACAAGGAAGGAGGGAAAAGAACGAGAGAAGAATGAAGGAGAAAGCGAAAAATCAAGATGAAGGAAACCGACAAAACAGAAGAAGGAAAGAGAGGCGATACAGCAGGAAACGCATGTAACAACAGCACATCAATTGAAGGGAAACTTGAAGTAAAGATCAATGAAACGAAACGATGACGTCAAGGAGACAAAGAACAAAAACATAGTTGTCAACAAGACAGTAACGCAAGGAAGGAGGGAGAACTCATTACATCTTCTGCTTCTGAAAGTTCTCACGCTGGCGGATCTGCTTCTGAATGTGCTTGCTGAACTCTGAGACTTGGCTGTCGCGCACCCACCAGCCCGCGGGCCAGACAGGAGTCGTCCTCCTCTTCTGTTGGATCCGCTAGTCAGCAGCAGGAGAAGCTACAGGAACAAGATCGTCACGTCGACGAGGAGGAGGATCCGGTCCAAAGCGCTGCAAGCTCTGCGAAGGTCGGGGGTCATGGAAGAGTAGAGGAAGAAAGGGAGAGAGGGACGGGAGGGAGGGAGGGAGGGAGGGAGGGAGGGAGGGAGGGAGGGAGGGAGGGAGGGAGGGAGGGAGGAGGAGGGAGGGAGGGAGGAGGAGGAGGAGGAGGAGGAGGAGGGAGGAGGAGGAGGAGGAGGAGGAGGAGGAGGAGGA